GCCACAAGCCAAAAAGGCATCTGCCAATGCTTCTGAAATTAATTCTCTTAATTTCTCTTTTGAATCCTCAGCCAGCCCGCGGATCCGAATCGCATACTCCATGTCCCGAAATTGGGCGACCAAGACNATGCAAATCACTTTCACTTCTTCTTGCTAAAAAGTTTCATTCCATCGCCATTTTAAGTTCACTTTCACTCAGTCCACCCCACGTATAGGGAAGATCAGAATATTCCAAGTTAGAGTAAAATCCAAAATAAAAAGCAAACTTCCAGGGTCGGTTTGTCTGCATATAATGACTCACAGTTCAATTTAAGTTGCAGCGGTGGTGGCGGCTTCTAGCTTCGCCGAAGCGAAGGCGTCCTGGATCGCGGAGAATCCTCAGGGCTCCGGAGGAGTTCTAACCTACATCGTCCAAATAGGACGACTCGGGAACTCAACTCCTACCCTGGGCAACTCCCCGATCCCCCTATGCCCGGGGGAAAGGTATCAGGCCGTTTGACAGCTGATGCTTGCTGTCAAAACGGCTTTTACGCGAAAACAGGCAGACGAGGTCGCCTGCACACCGGAAGAAACCCAAGGATCAAGAAGAAGAACAGATTGAAGAGAAAATAAATAATTCAGGACAACCACATCGAGATGGAAAAATAGATGATTTGTTAGTCTTCTCAAAAAAATGGCAATTGGATGGTTCTTTCTACGTCTACATATAACAACGCAGGGAGATTTATTGGATGATTCAAAAGCATGGTCATGGAAGACGATTTGGCAAAGAAAGAAAGCTAGAATAAGACTGAAGAAAATTGCGGTTTTGACTTATTAGTGAGAATTAAAATAGAATATACTCAAATAGATAAGATGTGTATTTTGAATACTAGATATTGTTATGAGTGGAGATAAAGAAAACTTTGGTTATTTAAAACTTGGAAGTAGAAATATTAACAGTTGAATTTGAACATTGATATGTTTATAAAGGTTAATTGTAAAGGTAATTAAGATATATATAAGCTAAAAGTTTATCGATGAATGTAATAAATATGTTCTTGCTTAGCGGCAATAAAAAAATTACTAGCTTAAATATGAGATAGTAGATATTAAGAGAAGAAGAGAGGAAGTACTAAATGTTGAAATAAGAGAAATTTTGCTTACTAAATTTAAGATATTTGGAAATTATCAGAAAATAAGAATATGATATTGTATTATTAATTGGTTGATGTAAGATGGTGAGAATTCAAATGATAAGACATGTATCCTGAACATTAGATTTTGTGGTGAATTGCGATAAAGGAAATTGGGATTATTTAAAACTTGGAAATTATACATATTAAACATTAAATTTAAATATTAATGGGAAATTAAAAATTGGGAAAAATTAATCAGGACATTGATTGTCTAAAAAGATTGAATGTTAAAACAACTAGGATATGTATAAACAAAAATTATTGTTAAATATAAGAAAGTTATTTTCATTTAATCGATATAATAAGAATTGTATTAATTCAAATATGAGACAGTAAATACCAAAGGGAAAAAAGAGGAAATATTTAATGTAATAGTTTGAGATCTGTACTAAAGATATTTGTATATTATTGAGTTATTGACCAACTCAGCCGCCATGTTGCTTTTCAAATATTTAAAGGTGAAATTAGAAAATCAATAAAAACTTTTTAAAAAAAAGAAATAAAAATTAAAATAAGCAAGAAAGTGGTTGGAGAACACCTATCTGATCTTGATGAATATAAATCACCACATAAATTCTCCATTCCTCCTTCAGGGGAAATATAATATTCTGCCTCTTTTTAATATTAAGAATAAAGAATATTTTAATCTGAGGAGGGGGGGACCTTCCTACAGTTCCTATATGTTTCTTGAGTTCATATTATTTTATTATCCCCAATGGTAAAATAGGAGCAAAACCAGAGAATAAAACCAATCACACTACTTATAATGATTGGTTGTCACCAATCAGGGCAACATGATTCAATAGGATTTATAAGAGGGGCAATAGAAACAGGATACAGATTGGTAATGGGAGCAGCATAGTTTTATTTATCAAATTTATATGTTAATCATCTAACTGTTTGAATCAATACAACAAAATTATGCTGACAATGTTTTTTTATTTTTATTATCAAATTTAGAAACTACTTGTCTCACACAGTAACTCTATGTTTTATGTTGGCATACAGGACAGCAATGTGGAAAGAGCACTTAGTTAAAAAACATTATTTTGTAAATAAATTCCTGAGAAGAGGGTGCCATATAAATAGTTGAACAGTGATTAGAAAAAGACCTGACCCAAATATCAATGGGGAAAGTTTCTGTAATGAGTTAGGGAACAATGTCCTTCCTAGGGCAGCAGCATTTAGCCTACTTTCTGGCTATCAGACCATTATATCTCTATTTGGAAACTATCAGCAAATATTTTTATCTCTATCACAAGTTTCCATTCTTATATATTTGTACTGCTATGTTTACTTTCAAGCCTGATCTCATTTTTAATATTATTTTAATATTAGCATTGACTTCAGGTTTGCCACTGAGGTTTTTTGACATCATTATTTTACTGCTGTTTTTTAAACAAGCCCTTCTTCTATACCAGAGGTCCCCAACCTTTTAGGCACCAGGGACTGGTTCTGTGGAGAAAGGTTTTTCCACAGACCGGAGAGTGCGTGGTTTTGCATGCTGCCTGCATCAGCTGGGACTTTACTTGTTTGTATGGACCAGTTGCTGGCATGTTGCGGCCCGGTACCAGTCCACGGACTGAGGGTTGGGGATCCCTGTTCTATACTATCCAAGTTTAATACAAAGGTCTATGTTAAATCTCCAAGGATTGCTCTTATTTAGATGAAATTGTGGCTTACACCCGTTCCTAGAAACCGCTATATTCATCCAGGTTGTTTCAATCCCCTCTTCTGAGCACATAGACGTTATAGACAACCACAGTATTTAAAATAGCAAACATTGGTGCATTAACAACAGATAGGCAATGTAAATGAAGTGCAAAAATATAACAAAAGATCCCATTTCCTCTCAAGATCTATGTTTGCCAAATGGCTTTTCTGTATCACTCACCATATTCACAGTTATTCTATGGCTGCAGCAACACAGAAATCACACATTTACAAGCATTTTTTATCCAGTAATTCTGCATCTTAATAGCATCAGTTGTTGCCCTTCTGTCTATATATTTAAATAGAGAATAAGTCACACTGAGTTCAAAAGATAAAAATGCACATGACATACTTTTCATCCTATTACTTATTAGGCAGTGGATAAGCTTGTTGGCATTATGGATTCCTTCTCTCTTTGGTATGCTTTCTATTTCCCACATCTTTTCTGGTTTGTGGGGAGAATCTTCAAAACATATTCAGAGGGATTAGTATAAAAGGTATTTGCTTAACATTGGTTGCTACCTATTATGTTTACTGTGTTATCCCGAAAATAAGACACACCCAGAAAATAAGCCCTAGACTGATTTTTTAGCATGCACCTAATATGCCCTACCCCAAAAATAAGCCCAGGGGCAGGCGTGGCCAGCACAGGAGGCAGAGAGCATATGGGGACCAACGATGTCTGGCAGCAGTCACAGCCCACATAGCGCAGATAAGTCCAAGCACTGTGGCCAGGCCGACCCTCTAAGCAGAGACACGTGGGGGAGGCAGGTGATCCCGATGTGTGGCGGCACCAGCAGGTGGAGGCAGAGGCGGGGGGAGGCAGTTGATCCTGACGTGCCGCACACTGCCTGCCCCCGTGTGGCCACTGGCAAGCCAAGAGATGGTGGGATGGAGTGGGCGGCCAGCCGCAAGAGGCTCATCCTTGCACGCCGGTACTGGCGGCAGGAGGAGGCAGAGGCAAGGGGGAGGCAGGCGATATGGACATGTTGTGCAGCAGCTTGGCTCGCAGGAGGCTCACATGGCAGTACCGGCAGCAGGCGCAGGCAGAGGCACGGGGAAGGCAGGCGATTTGGATGTGCTGCATGGCTGCCTGGCTCGCAGGAGGCTCACACAGTGGCAGCAGGCAGAGGCATGGGGGGGAGAGAGGTGATCCAGATGCACCGCCCACTCCATTCCACCATCTCTCAGCTTGCCCGCAGCCATGCCGGGGCAGGCAGTCGTGTGATATGTCGGGATCGCCTGCCTCCCGCCACACATCTGACTCCCTCTGGTGCTTGGACAGGTAATCAACTCACTTGCACTGTGCAGGCTGCGCAGCCCCAGAGTGTGCCGGCTAAGGGTCCGACAGACCACGGCTTCTGCTGGACACCATTGGCCCCTGTGCATAGCTACCTCTTGTGCGAATGCTGGGAGTGGGGCACCCAACTGGGCTGATCACCTTAATACTGTGTTTCCTCAAAAATAAGCCCTAATGCAACTTTTGGAGCCAAAAAGAATATAAGACCAGGTCTTATTTTCGGGAAAACACGGTATGTTATATTACAATATCAATAACATATTCCCATAAAAAACAAGTGCTCATGTACATGGTATGTTCTCTAGTCTCACAGCACCATATCTGAATTTGACATTACAATAGCACTACGCTGCCTCTCCTGAGTTTTTGAGGAGAATTCAGAAAAGGAGAAACCTTCATTCTTATTTTCTTTGTTTTCAATCAGTAAAAGAAAAGGATAAAAATAACCAGTTATATTTCAGATATAATGAACTTAGCTCATCCATAATTAAATGAGAAGCTCAGCTTTCCTAGTTAATAACTGTTTTTTATTTATTTCTTTGGGGCAATATCTAGACATTTTTATTGCTTAACAGTGAAGTCCTGTGACTACTTATTAGGAAACCCTCCTAAGATGACCTTATTCACAAGCAATTGAAGAATTTCATTGTTCCCATAATATAGTGGCAATTATGTTGTAAACCTTTAAAATAACATTCAGTAAAAATGTTGGAGGAACTAACAGGAAGGCTAGTAGAGCTTTTAAAAATGTTAAGGAAAAAATTCTTTTCTTAACCTGTAATATTCGTTGTCAAATGTTTTTATTTTAGGATGAGCCAAGTTCTGGTATGGATCCTAATGCAAAGAGGCATTTATGGAAAATCATCACCGAGGAAGTGCAGAACCAGTGTTCAGTGATACTTACTTCACACAGGTATAATGTGCTATCTGAGGGACAATGGAAATGTTCAGACCTACATACAGTATATAATAGTTATAAAATAATATTTAAATAATATTAATAATATTATTTAAGTGTAAATAAATATGTTAATAACATACTGTATATAATCATTTATTTCTGTATGCTTATTAGCTGTTTCAATTCATTTAAGTTAAAATAGCAGAATGGAAAATGAGGCCAACTAAATGGGAAACAATGAGTCTGTGGCTGGGCGGATTCATATAAAGTAAGACATCTCCAATTCTCTCATTTAATGACTTTTATTATTTTATCAATATATAAAATACAAAGAAAAATAAAAATAGGAAATTAAGGGAAGAAGTTACAAGGGAAGAAAAAAAAAAGCATTGACTTCTGACTCTTTTTAGTACAGTATAAGATAACAACATTCCAGCCTCAACTTTTTACTTTTATACATTAGCATATAACTAGCCATTCCTATAATAAAAAATCTATCTATCGGCAAAATCAAACTCAAAGTTTCATTTTTTTATCACAAGTACAAAATCCAGAAGTAATATTGAAATAAAAAACATAAATATATTTTCCTCTTTGAATAAAACAATCATTTCTGCTTTATCTTCCTTGCTTTGGAAATAATATGTATTTCTATTTGCACTTAATAATCTTTATAAACTATTACCATTTATATTAACAAAATTTACTGTATTCTTTCAGATTCTTTAACCTTAAAGGGAAAAAATCTTTTTTTCATCCATTTTAAAACACTAAATTTTTCTTTAAAAACATTTCTGAAATCAAAACTTTCTAATACATCATTTTTAAACATCCTCTTAACATGCATACTTTAAAGTTCACTATTAAATTTAGATCACTCCCTCCAAGTTACCCTCATAGAATATTTTTTTCTTCTTGTATACATTCTTTTTAAAACTCTAAACTTTTCTTTAAATTAATACATGTTTTTCTTTAACTTTCTCTTAACACAGATACTCTCAAATACATTTTCAATAATATTTTACAAACTTTAGGAATTATTTAACATTATATATAAAGGAAAAATACATTTTGAAACTTTAGATTTCAATGTTCCCTAGCTAGGTCTGTTCAATGATCTCCTGAAGCCATGGTTCTCCTAGATTTGGGAACAATTCTAAGGACTTGCTCCCTTATCTGATTTTGGATCCCTAACAGATTTACTCAGTTCTTCCAGACCATGGAACCCAAATTTATATGACTAATTCAGGAACCCAACATGATTGTCCTAAGGATTGATCTGCATGTAAAATGGACACAGGTTTTGTCTTCCAGCCTCCCAAGTGGTGGGTGGAAGTATGAGAGTGAATAAACAAAGGACAGTTCATAAAAATGTCTATCAATGGAAATCATATGTCCTTAAAGATTCATCCATGAAAGCAAATTGTTAGTTATTGCTTTCCTGGCACAGGTGGGAGGGATAAACAAGAGAATACATCAGGTGGTAGTATTGTAAGTATAGTATGGCAAGAATACTAAGCCATCAATCAATCAATCAATCAATCAATCAATCAATCAGAATAGAGCTGGAAGGGAATTTGGAGGTCTTCTAGTCCAACCCCCTGCTCAAGCAGAAGACCTTATAGCAGGGGTGTCAAACTCAATTTCATTGAGGGCCGCATCAGCATTGTGGTTGCCCTTGGGGGGCCGGGTGGGTGCAGCCTACTGGGTGGCTGTGGATGGAGTGGGTGTGGCCTACTGGGTGGGCATGGCCAGCTCTACATCGTTTGCGTCAAGGGTGCTTGTGGGGGCCTGGGCAGGAGTGGGACAGATCTGAGGGTCTCTGGCAGAAGGGGGTGGGACCGGGGCAAGCACCAAGGCATGGTCCATTTCTTCATTCCTCACAAAGGGTGACACCTCCCCACCATGCACCCAGGGGGCGGGGCCGACACAGCAGGGGCTGGTTCCTCGCTGTTTCTAGACGGCCTTGTGGAGCTAAGACTGAATGCGTTTCAGCATAGATGGCCACCACAAAATTGTACATTGGCTCCTGGCCGGCCTGGGCCGGGGCCAAGGCAGTGGGGGCCGTTCCCTCACTGTTTCCAGGATGGCTTCGCAGGCCACATGAAACCACTTCGCAGGCCGCATCCAGCCGCCGGGCCTTGTGTTTGACATGTCTGCCTTATACCATTTCAGACAGGTGGCTGTCCAGTCTTTTCTTAAAAACCTCCAGTGATGAAGCACCTACAACTTCTGAAGGCAGAAGCTTCTGAAGCTGTTCCACTGGTTAATTGTCCTCACTGTTAGGAAGTTTCTCCTTAATTCCAGGTTGCTTCTCTCCTTGAGTAGTTGCCATCCATTATTTCTTGTCTTGCCTTCTGGTGCTTTAGAAAATAAGTTGACCCCTCCTCTTTGTGGCAGCCCCTCAAATACTGGAATACTGCTATCCTGTCACCCCTAATCCTTCTTTTCTCTAGACTGGCCATACCCAATTCCTGCAACCGTTCTTCATATGTTTTTTGTCTCCAGGCCCTTAATCATCTTAGTTGCTCTTCTTTGCACTTTTTCCAAAAAACTCAACATCTTTTTTGTAATGTGGTGACCAAAACTGGATGCTGTATTTCAGGTATGGTCTTACTAAGGCTTTATAAAGTTACACTAATATATCACATGATTTTGATTCTATGCCTCTGTTTATACAACCAAGGATTGTATTAGTTTTGTGGCTGCTGCCACACACATCTAGCTCATGTTTAAGTAATCATCCACTAGGACTCCAAAGTTCCTCTCACAGTTACTGTTTTTGAGCCAGGTTTCACCTAATCTGTACTTGTACTTTTGGTTTTTCCTACCTAGGTGTAAAACCTTGCTTTTCTCCACATTGCATTTCATTTTGTTGGATAGGGCCCATTTTTCAAGTCTGTCAAGATGTTTTTGGATCCTGGGCTTGTCTTCTGAGATGTTGGCTATTCCTACCAGCTTAGTGTCATCTGCAGATTTGATGAGTTCCCCTTCTATTCCTTCATCTAAGACAAAGTCATTTATGAAGATATTGAAGAGTACTGGGCCTAAGACAGAGCCTAAGACTGCTTACTTCCCTCCATGTAGATGTAGTACCATTAAGGACTACTTGTTGAGTACTGCAGCCAAAGTGGAGAAAGTGATAAAATCTGGAAAGGAATGTCTTCAGCTATCTCCTTTTCCAAATGGGAATCAAGCAGTTTAAGATTATTGTGCAAAAGTTCAAAGAAGGCAATGTGTTTGAGGAATTTATTCAGCTTCTTTAAAATCCAGTAATCTCTTTATAACTTTAATGGCAGTTCTAACTCAGAGAACTTTGATAGGTCTCTGGACACTGGGGTCATGGCACATTGATTGGGCTCAAGTCCTTGACCTCAAATGATTTAAAGAAGTTTCTCTCTGGGATAAGCAAAAGGCTAGGTGGGGAAAGGCTAGGATTGGCTGCCCTACTCTGCAGTTACTCTGAGTGGATGTTGCTATTGAACTCAGTGACCTTAATGCCCTCTTCCAACTCAGAAATCCTATGGATCCTCAGAAGGTATAAAGGGACTGTCGTTATAAAATTACATGTAAAAAGAAAGGTAAGAAGAAAATCATGATTGAACACATGGTAGATTAACATTAAGTAATGAATAGCCCCTATTGTCTTCAAATAAGTTTTATCATGAAGTTGCCAATTTTTAGTTATTTGATGCCTTTAGACCAGGGGTGTCAAACTCGCCATGTCACATGATATATCTCAATGTATCATGATTTTTTCCCCTTGCCAGAGCTGGGGTGGGCGCAGCTTCCACGTGACACATCTGACCCACCTGCCAGCAGTTTGACATCCCTGCTTTAGATAGAAAGAATTCATTGACTATAAGTTGAAGAAAACAGTTGTAGGGTGGGATTAGAATCACAGAGAATGGGCCATTTAGTTGAGTACAACTGCTGATTTATGCAAGAATCTAAGCTGATCCCAGACAGAGGGCTACTTAGTCTGTACTTAAACACATCTGGCAGGGGAGCTTACCTTGAAAATATGTGTCATGGTTGACTTGCTACACAGCCCTGCTCACAAACAGGCAACAGTAACGGGATGGGGGAGGGAAGGTGTTGGAATGTAAGGGAGGTTTGAGAGGGATCTCTGGAATACAAATGTGCCATCTGGACCCGTGAGACAGATCCAAATCCCAAGGTCATCGCCTGGGAACAGGCTGTTTCCAAAATAAAGGCAGACAGGCTGTTTCCAGAATAAAGCAAGTGCAACTGCTTGGTGGACAATGGACAATGGGAGGTCCAGGGAGAAGAAGGAAAAGTTTTCCTATGCTGTTTGCGAATGAAAATGTCAGTACTGGCTTTTCTATTTCTGTGCCCATATGGCTTTTCAGTAAAGTTATACTCTTGGATAAAAAAATGTCCTAGGAGTTTCTTTTGCTATTTAATGCAGTGGAACGGTTGACATTAAGCCAGTTCTCACAGTAATAGCCTTCCTGGATTCCACCAGGAGGTCAGCCTCAAATGTTGTCTATGGCCGAAGATACAGAAGAACAAAAGAAGCTAGGAGAGGTCTCTACTTGGGAAGAGCCAGCACCGCCTCAGGCTGACGCCAGATCACAAGCCACCAGCCTACGCCCAAAACCAAGACCTGAGAATTTTGAGCAACCACCTACAGCCATGAAGGAGTGAGTGAGAGATGCCCCATACCAGGGATCGAAGACTCACTATGCATCAAATGTGGGCAAGGCAGCAGAGACTGAAGACCTCCTTCTCCCTGCTGGACTCAACGTGGTCCAGGGTGGTAGATGGAGAGCAAAGTGGCTAGCCAAATGGGACAACCCTTCTGAGTGGAAGATTCCAATCACTGGCTGCAGTCCGCCCATGGAGCAGGGCACCCCTGAGCTAGATGACCTTGACATGATGATGCAAGCCCTATGAGAATGGTTCAAGGACTCCATGGCAGCCCGACATGTGGAAAGCTGTATTTGTGCCCTAAAGCAAGGGAAGTGACTAGTGACAGAGTACATCTGAGACTTCTGTCACCTAGCCTGCCACCTGGAAAACTGGCCTGGTCTACCATTCCCGAGAGGGGCTGAACAAAGAACTGTACCAGAATTGCCTACCCCGGGCGGTGCTGCACAACCTGCAAGCATGGTACCATGTGATCACAGAAGTAGAGATCAACCTGATGGAATTCCATAAACACACACAGGGCAGGAGAGTTGGTCCTGCCAGCCGGCAAAAAGATGAATGGCTCTCTAAGGGAGGAAGAGCGCTGCCAGCCAGAGGAGGCAAACCCTGCCAAAGCATTGGTGGCTGCTTTCATTGCAGAAAGGAGGGGCACCATGCTGCTGAATGCCTCACACCATGGCCAATGACTGCTCCCCCCTTCCAAGCTAACTGAAGAAGAAAAAGCCAAAAGAGAAAACATAGCCAAAGCCAAAAGAGAAAACATAGAGCTCTCTCCTCCATCCAGCAAAGGGGAGGGAACTCCAGCCCCTGTCAAGACGGGACCAGGAGGAAACAACCCAATGGTAAGTGGCACCATCATCCCCATGACTGCTAGGCAGGAGATTTATGTGTCTTCCACAGGAGTAAAGGGGACCATATGGCTTTGCTGGACACATGGTAGAGAAGCTAGGAATGAGGCTAAGGAAACCAAGAAAGCCCATAGCATTTTTCCCAGCTAGATGGTTCAATAACAGGCTGAGTGTCAGCGATCTGCCTAACTGAGCCTGTGAAGCTAAAAGCCAGGACCCACAAAGAGACTATTCGATTTATTGTGGCCCCAGGATGACAGAGGCCATGATACTGGGACTGGTGTGATGGAAAAAATGGAACCCATCTGTCAATTGGGATAGAGACAAATGGTGGATGCAAAGGAAAGAATCCAATCAGCAAAAGATAGGAAAAATGCTAAGAAGCCACCACATGTCTGCAGCTAAGAAAGCAAAAGTGGAACCTGCCATTAAACTAGAGGGAAGTGGTAGCTTAGAACCACTGATTTCCAAGGAATATCGTGACCTGGCTGAGGTCTTCGGTGAGAGGGAATCCAACACATTTCCGCCCCACAGCCCCACAGACTGTGCAGTTGAGATTGTGCCTGGGGCTAAGCTGCCAAAACCAAAACTATATTCAATGACACCTCAGGAGATGGAAATGTTCTGCACATTCATACACAAAAATTTAGCTAGGAGATTCATTCAGCCGGCTAGGTTGAGGATGGCAAGCCCCTATGCTTTTCAAAGAAAAGAAAGATGGGTCCCTTGTGCTGTGTGTCCACTATAGAGAGCTAAACTGTATATGCGTGGAGAATATGTACCCCCTCCCTCTAATGAAGGACATGTTGGGCCACCTTGCAAAGTGGAGGATTTTCACAAAGTTGGACTTGAGGGAGGCATACTACTAAGTGAGAATTAAGGAGGGGGATGAATGGAAAATGGCGTTCAATTGCCCTCTGGGTTGCTACCAGTTCCAGGTGATGCTGTTTGGGCTACAGGGGCCCCCAGCAGTGTTCATGCAGCTAATAAATGAAGTCCTACATGAGCATTTGTATAAGGGGTCTTGATGTATCTGGACAATATACCCAGACCAATCCTGATAGGGTGTTAATGTGAAAAGAAGGTAGTGTAGAAATAATGTGTGTGTTTCTTTGTAGGATTAATCGTTCTGGAGGGTCAGCGTGTCATAACTGACTCGCTACACAGCCCTGCTCACAACCAGATAACAGTAACGGGAGGGGAGAGGGAAGGCATTGGAATGTAAGGGGGGTTTGGGAGGGACCTCTGGAATGCAAGAGTGCCACCTGGAAGCATGAAACAGACCCAAACCCCAAGGTCATTGCCTGGAAACATCTGAGGCAGACAGGCCATTTCCAAAATAAAGCAAGTGCAATTGATTGGTGGACAATGGACAATGGGAGGTCTGGCGGGGGAAGAAAAGTTTTCCTATGCTGTTTGCACATAAAAACATCAGAACTGGCTTTTCTACTTCTGTACTCATATGGCTTTTCATTAAAGATATACTCTTGGAGAAGAAAAAGGGCCCAGAAGTTTCTTTTGCTGTCTAATGCAGTGAGACGGTTGACAATAGGTTCCATTATTGAATAGCAAGAGCACTAATTCTGAGTAATTGCTATTAAATTAATAGAAAACATCTATCGGTAAACATCTACCTGTTTCTGGTATTTTCACCCTAAGAGAATTTTCCTCTTAATATTTGATTAGCCTGTCAAGCAGTTCCAATACTTCTTCGAAACCTTGTGGAGTGTGATTCCCACTATCTTCTCCATAAGAAAATAATGCTTCTGATTATAACTGGATTGTACACTTTGCTAACTGATAGAAATTCATACTTTACAGTCCCATCTTGCTGGTTATTCATCGATATATAAATTGGGTATTTTTTGAGAAGATTGCAGACAACAAGATGTATTCTAATCATTAGGCATTCTAGTTTTTCATGTTGAAAATGCAATTCCTTTTGGTTTTCAGCATGGAAGAATGTGAGGCTCTCTGCACACGCCTGGCTATCATGGTAAATGGACATTTCCAGTGCTTGGGTTCATTACAGCATATAAAAAGCAGGTTGGTAAAATGTTTCTTTTGTGACAACTCTTACCCAATTGAGCAAGCAGTAAAGTGTAAGAGCAATTTTTGCTCTAAGGGGGGAAATAATACAAAAATTACCAAACAAGTCATTTTTTAGCTTTATGGATAAGTGAACCAAGGTGATATAATGATATTATTGCATTCTATTACAACTTTGTATCATAACTTAGATATGCAGAGCAAGATTTGTCACATTCAAGTATCAAAGGATGTACATAGGACTCAGTATAGATAGGAGCTCTCCCTACACAAACCACTGATGCTGCAGCATTCTAACCTTCTGAAATTTGAAGCTGACCCAGATCCTTAATGTGCTTTTGGTTGTACTAGAAATTATGCTTCATTTGGTTTTCTAGAAGTATTGCTTGGGATTACTAGAATTTTCATTACATTTTATTACATTTTATCTAATAAAATATACTTTTCATATTTTCCTCTAGATTTGGAAAAGGATTCACCGTGAAGATGCATTTGAATAACAGTGCAGACAACATTGAGAAGCTGACTCTATTTTTACAAACAAACTTTCCAAATACATATTTAAGGGTACATATTTTTGCATAGCTATACTGTGAAATGCCTGCATATTACATTAACAACTTAGAAATCTGGTTACATTTCTTTGGACTGCAGGGAGATTTCTAACATAATGGAATATTCTTTCATGTGCTTAAATAAGCAGAATATCAATAAGGCTAAGCTAAAGTGCAAAAAAAGTGCAATGAATTTTTTGTATACAAGAGAATGTAATAATGTAAGTTCCTGTTGTTCAGTCCAACCACAAACTAAAAAGAGACCAAATTGTTCTTGATTAATGCTCTGATAGAAATTGTAGCATCCTGAATTAATTGTAGTATTCACGAAGTAATATTACCAGCCAAATATTATCACATTTGTTCTATAAAATTAGAGCACATAGCATGTTTTACAGTTTTTTTCTCATTCACTTTTAAGGATCTCATTACATTCTTGTACAGAAGAAAACAAAAGTAAAAATTCATACTTTCATAAGATTCCTTTAGAAATTTGGTTGCGTCTGGTTCTAAGATCCTGGCAGCATAAAAGAAGCAAAGACTGAAGTAGTTTCTGATTAATAGCAGCTACTATCACTAGAAGTTTTTTAATTTATCAAACGTATAAGCACACAATGATTCTGACTCTCATAGTTGATTCTCAAGCATCTTGTAGAGTAGTTTGGAAAAATCATCCAGGATTAATAGAGAAAGCCCTGGGGAATAGCTACACATAGTGTTATGAAAGAACTGGCACATTCCTGTAAAAATGTCAGGTACAAATGAATCAACATTTCCAACATATTGGAAATATGTTGTCAGATGGACATTAGTATTTGATTTCCAAATCTGCATTTGTCTGCATTAAATCTTATTCATATAGGATCATCAACTGAACATGGTGGAATATCATATCCCAGTGTCTGCAGGTGGTGTGGCAAACATATTTCAACTTCTAGAAATGAACAAAGCAGTTTTTGAAATTAAACACTTTTCTGTGAGTCAAACAACTCTGGAAGAGGTAAGCAAAAAACTTGTCTCATTTATTGTTGACACAATAGAATTAAACTGTAAGAAACACAGGGATAATGAATCTCTTTTCCTAGTTTGAGGCAAGATAACTTATAACTATTACTGGCAATATGTGAAAAGCAGGCATTGTATAGAATGTCTAGAAATCTATAGAAGTGTGATATTTTTAGGCAAAGTATGAAATGTCTGTTATTTTAATATGTTATATACTTTCCCTGGCATTATATATAATACCTAGACATTATGCAGAATGTTAAGAACTATTTAGATAAAGCCTGAAAACAGAGTCATGAAAAGGGTCAGGGTTAGAGTTAGCCTAACTCTAACCCTAATTCTTTATTGAAAACAGGTATATGAAAATGAAAGAAGAAATGCAAAATGAAGTACAGGACTTTCTTACTGAAAAAAAACAAAAGACCAGCATTAACCTACTTGTGGCAACAAGGAAGAATAGAATGGCATTTTAGCAGGAGTATTTTATACTTTGTCAGTTTGTCTTTTGATATTGCATAGAATGCCTAGGAAATGTGTTAAATATTAAGCGTTTCATATTTGATATCCCATTTTTGGCATTCTGTAGATTTCCTAGGCATTCTATGAAATGCCTAATTTCACACATTGATGATAACATAACTAAAGCTTCCTAGCATTTAAGTCCATTTCTGAATTTTCTTGAAAATTTATAAAAAAGCAAATTAATTTATTTTCTTTTAAAATATTCTATCTCATTTTAGTGAATCTTCAACAGAACCTATACTTTTCAAAATAGCAATATCTTAATAAATTGCTATTAAAAGCAATAATGAAGCACTGTATTAACATTTAAAGATTACAGTCTGAATATTAATGTATTCAGTATTGCTAATGAACATGGACTTGGAAGACTAGATGAACCTTAGCCATATGCCTAGAAAATAACAGTCTTGATCTCTGGGGAAAGAATTCCTAGTAGAAGCACCCTCACCTTAATCTCCAAAATCATTTGGAGGAAGGGCTGAAATACAACTTCATTTGTGCTCCATCTCTCTGGGTGTAATGTGGCCCTTGGTCCTTAATATAGGAATCAGCTATTAATACCAATAAGAGGCAAATGAGTTAATTGGCTTTGTCTGAAATTCTTTTCACCTGATATTTGAAATTCATTTAGGTTGAATGTTACAAATTTGGTAAAATAAGAGCTGTCAGATAAAAGATGTTTTAACAGTACCTGCAGATTTCTTCATTCTTGATAAGCATCTGTTTTATTTCAGTAACCACAACATGAATGCTTTGATTTCATACATAAACCAGTTATACACATGTATGTATATATCTTTGTGACAAGAAATTTCATTAAGTTGTATGAGAAGCAAGATTAACATATGTCTTAACTAATAGGAAAATATGTTATCGTCATAACTTTTAACACATAACACAGGACAATTAACCAGTGGAACAGCTTGCCTTCAGACGTTGTGGGTCCTTCATCACTCGAAGTTTTTAAGAAGAGACTAGACAGCTGAAATGATATAGGGACTCCTGCTTGAGCAGGGGGCTGGATTAGAAGACCTCCAAGGTCCCTTCCAGCTTTATTCTGATTATTATTATTATATGCTCATAAATATCCTAACTTGTATTGATGTGCAATAGAGTTAGTCAAGTTAGTCAAATTAGCCAAGTTAATCTAGTGGTTAAGACACCAGGCCAGAAAGTCAGAGATTTTGAGTTCTAGTCCCATTTTAGCCATGAAAACCAGCTGGATGATCTTGGGCCATTCATGTTCTCTCAGGCCATTCATGTTCTCTCACCTCACAGAGTTATTGTAGTGAGGAAAATACGAGGAAGAAACTGTTGGATATGTTCGCTACCTGGAGTTATTTGTAAAAATAATAGACAGAATATAAATTAAAGAAATATCACTCTTTGTTAAATTAAATACCAGATAACATTCACAGCAAGTCTCTTTTTTAAAAAAAAAATGTTCCTCAGACTCCCCCCCCCCCATGCAAAATTGACATGAAAAAGAGTGAGGTTCCTTGGTACAAGCAACAGTAATTGTACTGTATTTCCTATTGCTAATTGTCAAATCTGGATGGAAATGTTACTGATATTGAACCAGAGAGAGAAGGCTGAAACCTTATCTTCTGGTGTACTGCTGTGAAACAAATCTTAAGCAGAATAACAGAGGAATAAAGAATTGGAAGGGACCTTGGAAGCCTTCTAGTACAGCCCCCTGCTCAAGCAGGAGATCTATACCATTTCAGACAATTGGTGCTCCAATCTCTTCTTAAAAACAAATATCTGCTATTTGATTTTTAAAAACAATGAGATTGGTAATCATTTTTTTGGCTGCTAAACATTACCTTTTAGTTACAAGGATTTTACATACCTACGATGAACAAACTCTTATTTCCAATCAAAGGCACTCGACCTCCCTAGGTGTTGCCAAATGCTATAATGCTGCCTACAAGCTAAGATCCAAGTTGATTAATCTCCACAATTGTAATATAGCACAATTATGACTAACCCTTGAATAACTTGCAATAAATATATACGTAGATAGATTTTACATTTTGCCTCATTCTTAGAATCTTAGTCTTATGTCACTAATGTTAAGTACTTTAGACAAAAATCCTGTTTTCTATCATTAAAGACAGTTCATATTGGTAAAAACATAATATTTTGTTTTAGCCTTTTGCTTGTATTTCATACCTGGCCTTTGTCTTCTACTTTTAAACTATTTGTTAATTGCTTTGTTCTATACTGATTTTTGACTGGTTTTTGACTGAAGTAAACTTTGAGTTTAATTGAAAGATCTGTGATATGATTGTATTGATTAATGTTTATTTAAAATAAGATAAATATAATGTATTACTTTTGTTTAATACAGTTACCACATTTTACTTTGACTTCTATTATATCTTTGTTCTGATCTGGAATTTAACCATAAGAAAGTTTGTTGTCATAAATAGGTACACTAGGTGTAAGAAGTCGATTTAGAAATTCTCTGAAAAAACAATATGTTTAATTTCATGTAATGTGTTTTTGTTTCATTTTAGGTTTTCATCAACTTTGCTAAAGCTCAGACTAACCCTGATATTTCAGATGCAATCACCTATACAAATTCAGAAGCTTAAGGGAACACTTAACTGCTATACTAAGTCTTATGCCAAAACTTCTTGACTGCTGTATTAAAGCCCTTTTTTGCAAGTTATTTTATGCATTCATATTGTAATCTAGACCATGAATCTAGGCACTCCCTTTTATTTCAGATTGGTCTTTTACTTCTTTCTCAAGTTTTTTTTTCTCATGTAAAGAATACATAGCAGATACAAGTATATTTCTCATCATGTATTTATAAAATTCTTTCCATGCTATAGTTCCCAAAAATATATTCAGTGAAAAAGAAGAGCTGCTTTGTGTTCAGGAATATAAACCAAAAGATTGCTATATAGAGAGATTATGACAATCTTAAATAAAAGTATTTAAAGTGACTGCGTAATCTGTTAATTTCTAATCTTTGTTTAGATCTTGGCAAAAGGAAATGTTTGTAAGGATAGAAAAGTATGGAGAGATATAGCAAATAGTGTGGATAGAAACTAGTTTTAGGAATATTTTCTCTCCTTTTCTTTAAATATTTTAAATGTCTTTTTGTTGCTCCTTATATTTGCATAATGTTGCTTACCAAAAAGGAATAGCAAGATGATGGGTATGGATGTATGAAAATGTGGCAAAAGATATTTCCTTCACAATGCCCAAAATTTGGCCACCTATAATACATTCTATTTGGGCAATATTGCATAATATTAATTGTGACCTCACCATTTCATACATGTCTTTTTGTACTAAGCACTCTTTTTCTTTGCAAATAAACAAAAACATACATTATACCTGTAAAACATACATGAATACTAAGAATTTGTATTATTTCCTGAGCATGAGTAGAGAATAAGAGGACTTTTATTGCAACAGGATTTGCAAGACGTTTGGTGAGACAGGAAACTACAAAAAAATGGACAGAGGGGCACATAACCAAGGCTGATTATCAGCAGACTGCCAGAATGTGCAAAGAAGAAGTCAGGAAAGCAAGGACTCAGAATGAACAAAGACTTGCAACAGAAATCAAGGACAACAAAAAAAGTTTCTTGTAACATATTAACAACAAGAAAAAAGTCAAGGGAACTGTAGACCCACTAAAGAGAGAAGATGGCAAGGAAATTACAGGCAACAGGGAGAAAGCAGAGCTGCTTAACTCATACTTTGCATCAGTCTTCACATAAAAAGAAACTATAGCCCAACATACCAAAAAAAAAACCCCACTGCAAAAGACACAATAGAAACAAAAATTAAAATAAGCAAGAAAATGGTAAGAGAACTCCTACACGATCTTGATGAGTATAAATCACCGGGACCTGACAGATTACATCCCAGAGTTCTGAAAGAGCTGGCAGATCTCAGAACCGCTACAACACATCTTTCATAAATCCTGGAGCATCGGGGAAATACCTGAGGATTGGAAAAGGGCTGATGTCCCCATATTCAAAAAACGAAAAAAACTGGGCCCAGGAAACTACAGACCAATCAGTTTAACATCAATACCTGGAAAGATAATAAAAAAAACAGATCTGCAGACTTCCGGCTTGGCATTGCCACAAATGGAGGAAGATGGGGCTCCGTCTTTCGCGCCTGAATTTGCTCTGCTGGGGGACCCTGGAAAGGGTCGAATGTTGTCCCGTAGAAGTGATGAGCAAGGAGGGGATCCCCATTTGATCACGGGAGGGCGGTGGTACTTCTGTTTGATCAAGGGAAGCGCTCCAAACCGGTGGGGGAAGCTGCTGACAGCTGAATTCAAAAGCACCACCAAGCAACTTTCAAGTAATGCGGATGAAATTGGGTGAGACCTGATCCTCTCTTTAAGATTCTAGGTTTTGTTTCCTGAAAAAGCTGCCCAAAGCATTTTTCCCCCTGTGAGAAGAGAGGGAAGGGAATTTTTACCCCACCATCTAAGAAAAGTGGCAACTAACTACTCGGGAAACAGAGCAACCATAAGATTAATTTTAACCTAATTGGATATATATTCTTTTGAAACTTGGGGATTAAAAGTGTTCTTTTGGCTTATTGGAGACTTTTCTTTTTAAAATAATAATAATAATAATACTAAGACTTGAAAAACCATCATATAAAATTTGGACTTAAAAAGCTATAAAACGGCATTAGTGACATCTTGTGGTGAAATATGGTATTACAATTTGTTATTGGCTAAAAGAAACCTGGCTTGAAGCCCATACTTCAGATAAAATTTGTTTGGCCTTGACAGCTACTACCTTTGAAAAATTCAGCTGCAAAGAAGGGATTTCTGGGTGGCTTATCTGTGTGACAGGGATAATGTACTGTTTTGGAAGCTGGCCTGCTTGAGCTATGAATGTAAACTTTTACTGATTCTCAGAGCTATGCTTGAGGAACTGCTTTCCTATTTCCCTGCATGAGAAGCATATATTATTACACGAGATGATAGAACACCTTGGATTATAAACTCTTACTTGATAAACAATTTATATTATAAAAATCACCTATAAAACATGAAATAAATGTCCCATACCCAGCTACAAAAGACAAAAAAATATTTTTAACATTTGATTCTAAAGTCTTCAACTTAACATATTATCAAGAAAATATGGATGAAGATCAGGAAAAAATCCTTTCCATGTTGAAATCAATACATGAAACTAGTCTTTCAGCTTGTGATAAAATAAGAAGCAACACAAAGGAACAATGTTCTAGCTTAAATATACAAACCCAGATCTTGATTACAAGCAAAGAATTAACAACACAGGACTTCCAGTGGTGACGTGGAGGTGGTGCAGGGGAAAGAGGACAGTCTCCGTCCTCCAACTCTGATTTTTTTAAGTTTGGAGACCCTTCGGGGGCACTGAGAGTCTGGAGGGCTACGTGCGAAAAGGGTGAAGCCTTGGGGAGTAGCGAGGTGAGAGGCAATCACCCACTATGACGGAGGAAAACCCTTAAATCCAACTTGAAAATTTAGGCTATCAATAGATGGCGGATCCGAGGTCTCGACTAACCACAAAGAATGCGGAAGCAAGATATACTTAATAGACTATGTCATTGAGTGAGTTAAAAAAATTATGAAAATATTCCAAAATAATAGAAAAGTCTAAAAGATTTACTTGTCTGTTAGCTCTGATGTTGTAAGGAAGCTCAGTTGGAGAGGGAATCCTCAGCGCAAGCGGTGACCCGGCGGGAAGAGCTGTGAGTCAGCAATTAATATAGCCAGAGGATTAACAGGAGTGAGACAAAAGAAAGAAAAGTTTTTGTGATAAACGTTATAGCACAGAATGAAGAAGGTGAAAGATTGTGGAAGGAGAGGTTGGGAGACGAAAGACAGAGACGGAGGAGACGGCGAAGTGACTAGGAAGAAACGAAAGAAGACATTTGGCAAGCTGACAGCCGGAACGGCGAGAAAATGGCAATCTGAGAAGGACAGAAGAGTAGCGAGTAGTAGGAGATCGGAGAAAGCGAGATCAAAGGAGAAAGGAAGAAAGAGACAGTGAGAGGATGTGCCACGGTGGTGAAAGTGACAAGAACAGATAGACGGACAGACGGTCGATAGAGAGAGATGGCGTGTCAAATTTGGAGACGTGCAGAAGGTTTGAAAAGTGAAGGAATTGGTGAGAGGATGTAATACGGAGGCGAAAGCCACAGGAAGGGATAGAAACTTGAAATCCTAGAGAGACTGTATAGCACATTATAGAAGATTGGAGAAAGTGAGGCTGGAAGAGAACGAAGGAGGTAAACTAGGAAGTGCAGAAAGTTTGGAAAGTAAAGGAGATGGTGAGAGGATGTGATTCAGTGTTGAGAGACAACGGATATATGGACAAATGGTTGATGATATAAGTTAGGAGAGAAAATTTGGATTCCTAGAGAGATTGGGTGTTAAGTAAGAAAGAGAAAAGAAAGTGAAGAAGGTTAGGGAAGGAGAAGAGAGGTCTAGGAGCACAGTGAAAGTAGATCGAGATCTAGGAAAGGAGAGAAAGAAGAATTGTAAGTTTAGAATAAAAGTGTAAAGTTATAAAGGTTACTGGGTAAATCATATCATATTCCTAGATACTAAGAATAGAAAGCACTTGATAAATAAGAAATTAAGATGACAACACTGAGAACGGGAAAAAACAATGTCAAGTTTAGCACTGACACCTTCATCTCCTGGACAGAGAACAATAGAGGGAATGTTGGGGACAGAGAAGCAAAATGTATTATCAAATATGCAAAGCATGCAAACAACATTATTAACTATTCAAGAAACAATGTTAAAGATGCAGGAGACAATGTCAAAAAAACATATTGAAATGAGAGGGATATGAATAAATTAGATAATAAGATTGAAACAATACAACAAACAATTGAGAAAAATGAAGAAAGAATATTGACAGTAGAAGTAGGATTGGATAAAATAGGGGAAAAAGTCGACACAGTAGATAAAAAATTGATGGAAACTAACAAAAAATTGGAAGAATCAATTATACATCTGGAAATGGACAGGGCAGCGTTTTACTTAAGATTTCAAAACGTGGTGGAGGATAAGGAAGAGGATTTGGGCACCATTAAGGTAGAGCTGATAGCAGAGACTCTACAAAGAGATAAACAAGAAATATTGCCAGAAATAGATGAGGTGTACCGAATCCACACAAATTATGTTCGAAGGAATAAACTACCACGTGAGATACATATAAGATTCCCCAGAAAAAAAATTAGAGACCTAATATACAGGATTACAAGGGAAGATCCAATAATTTACAAAGGCATAGAAATTCAAACATTAAAACAAATTCCAAAGAAAGTGAGGGAACAGAGAAGAGACTACAGATTTCTCAGTGCACATCTTATTAAAAAAAAACATTCCATTTAGATGGTTAATTCCCGAGGGGATGCTGATAACATGGCAGGAGAGAAGGATTAAAATTGATAGCCTAGACAAGGCAAGAGAATTTTATGAACAACTAGAAGGGGAAGAAGAAGAGAATAGTAGTAGGGAAGAATTAGAATTAGATTCTAAAAGTCAGGAAGATCAGCAACTAGAGTTAAAAGAGAGAGAGAAGGAGATAGAAAGTAAGGAGGTAAAAAGACAAAGGAAAGAAAGAGGAACAGGTTTGAGAGTAAGACAAACTCAGAAGTAAAATAATGGATGAGAAGATTAGATTAGTATCAATTAACGTCAATGGCCTAAATGCACCAGCTAAAAGAAAACAAATATTAACTAAATTAGTCAAACAAAGTGTAGACATAGTATGTCTACGAGAAGTACACATGAAAAAGCAACACAGAAAATATCTGGAATTTCCGAAATTAGGAGAATTATATACATCACTAATGGAACAAAAACAGGAATAGCAGTTTATATTAGAAAAAGAATTAGAGCCAATTTAAAATATCAAGATACAGAGGGAAGAGTACTAATAATAGAACTACAAATGGAACAGAAATCGTGGTTATTGGTGACAATTTATGCTCCAAATGAAAATCAAAAAGAATTTTATAAAGATCTACACGAAAAACTTATAGAAATTGCACAAGGAACCATCTGTATAATAGATTATAATGCGATAGCGGATGTAAAAATGGATTATATTAGCAATATGAAAAATAAAAAGAAGCGGAAAACACTACCAAAAACATTTTTTGAGATGGCACAAGAATTTAATCTATTTGACCAATGGAGGAAACAGAATCCCATAAAAAAGGAATATACCTTTTTTTCAAATCCACACAAATCGTGGTCTAGGTTGGATATGGCATGGATGAACGGGGAAATAGGACAAGAAGTGGAGACAATATTATTATTATTATTATTTATTGAATTTATATACCGCCCTATCTCCCTTACGGGACTCAGGGCGGTGAACAGGCGATAATAAAAACCACGATAAATATA